ACTAAGATTTTGTGAATATCCATCAGAAATTCCATTACATAATCACTATTCAAAAAAATATATACTTCTCAGTGCAAGTCGAAGAAATTTATTTAGGAGGAGTTATGAGTCATTTAGTGTTCATTTTAAGTTCTCAGACATAATGACATAATTATTTAATTTGGTCTACAACGATGGATTTGAATGCAATGAACGATTTACCAAATACATAAATTATACAAATATAATATACATTGTTTTTTTCATCAACCTTAAGTCCGGTAACTATGGCCATTATAGCTGTTTGTTGGGAAAATTGTTGGTTTGAAACACCTATTGTATGTGTGGCAAGGATTTTGTTGCTAAAAATCCCGGGTGGTAACCCATCTAGGAGATAGGACGGTGTACACTCGGAGCATGTCCTCGAGCCATAAATATATTAAATTGTATATCTCACAATATCATTACATTTTTAATTATTTATTAAGAAATCAAATTTAACATCAAAACGAAAATAATGCAAAACATTAATGACTTAAAATTGATTTATTGTATTGCTTAATAAAGTTTTTACTGTTACAAATTTATTATTGCCATATAGGTATCTAAATAATATGTTGTATCTGAAAATTTTAAATAAAAATGAAAAGGGTGAGTACTAACTCTGTATTTAAACGGTATTTCTTAGTTTATAATTTAATGAAGAGCCATTTTCCATTTCCTCGGCATCAAATGCAGGTAAGTCTCAAAATATTTTAAAGCTTAGGACCTGCTGCAGGTCACGTTTTAGGTAAGTAAAAAAAATTATTATTATTATTATTATTAAAAAGAAAAACATTCAGAAATTCTGGAATTGTGTTGAAACTCAAAGTGTGTAACGAAGAATTAAAAGCATAAATAATATGACGATGATGGAATTTCAAAGAATAAATCAATGGAAGTATAGTAATCAATGGTCAAATAGGTTGTTAACATTAATTTCTAATAACGATATTAAATAATCTTGAGCCATTTATATTCAATTGTATCACATTATATATTTATATTAATATGTATAATAATATTATGGGCACACAGTGCTGCAAACTCAGGTTGACACTGACCTTCCTGATTACGTTTCTGACAAGGTTGAATCTAAGATATCAGAATCTATTATACAAAATACTGCGAATAAATGATTAGTACATGTGTTTACATCGAAACTTTTATTTTGTTTTAATATTTTCAAGAAATATATAATTGATCCTTAAAAACGTGTACTTAATTACCAACAATAATATTAATAGCGTTATAGAAAATTTAAATGTTAAATAAATAATTACTCTTACTGAGCACAAACACCGATAATAATGAATAATGTTACTAGCCGCTATTAAAATAGTTGTAAAAATTCCACAATGCATTATCGCAGAGTACTTTGAAGTGGGGTGAGCGGTTTCCAGAACAATAATAATAAATTATTAAACTCAACTGGCGTGTAAACGACGGAAACAATCTACGGAGCAGTTTTACAACAATACTTGGTACAATATTATGTCCTCTAATAATAATAAGAATAAAATATTATACCAATATTGATGTACCACTTGTACCTTTTCTGAGTGTTGAAGTCGTATTAATTTTCGTCTTTCGGTGGTACACATAGCGACCGCGTCCATTGAAATAAATCCGGACCACACATTATTATATCCTACTTATATGTACTAATGCCGACGACACGTCTCCAACAGGATTTTACACGATCGATTTGAGTGTTCATGGCGACATTGCCACCACAGCACAACACGAGTACACGATTAGGCCGGAACAGTCGATCTCTGTCTCACAGATGTCGACCGTATCATTATCGTTATACAGGGTGTCACAGGACGACCTGTCAAATGAAATAACTTTTGTTCTTATCAACATTTTTTTTTTTTTTTTTTAATGTAATTTACAGAGCTCTGTCATTTTTTTTCATTTTCCTAATACTGACAGTAAACACATATAAATATAATAATTTTATTTTGGAATCATCAAAATAACCAATTTGAATAATATCTGTTTTTTGAAAAATTGTGATTGTAAAATCATTTATTTAAGGCAATACATACATATAATATAGTTTAATTTTTGAAAATTTTGAAATCTCATTATTTTTGTTAAGTAAAGTTGTCCCAGTCGTAAAGAACATTTTAAATTAAGACACCATTTTTTTAAAAATCTTTTATGAGAATATTTAAATAAGCGCTTGTGAAATCTAAAATATATCTTTTTAAAATGTTATGACTTTTCAAATTAATGTATCTTACATAAAACAATTAGGCATCATAAAAAATCATAAAAATAAACCACATGACTTCGATAAATGTTTTTGCGATCGAACATTTTCTAATAACCAGATAAACTAAATGGTTATTTTGAAAAAAAAAAAAACATTTAAATCAGAATTAATTTTTTTTTTACTTTCAGTTTAAAAAATAAAAAATGACATATTATACGTGTAGTGACTAGTGATGAGTCAACAAATTAAACAGAACAAAAATTTAGAAATATTGATTAGAACAAGTCATTTCATTTATCAGGTCTTCCTATACACCCTGTACACATATACGCGCAGTCTCCGCCGTTGACGGGCCGCACCCCGATTAGTACTGGTCGGGCACAACCCATTTAGCGTCCTGTTCGATGACCGTTGGACTGGGTACTTAATCTTTTTCGGACGTGACACTCACGAGAAGCTCGAAATAACCCCCCCCCCGGGTAAGTATAATAATATATTATTTTATTTTCAGTCCTCACTACACATCCGCAGTGCAGAGTCATCATGTTCTCGCTACATTACCTTTTCGCAGATTTCGCTTTAGTTATTATTATTTTATTTTGTTTTTTTTTTTAGATTTTATCCCCTTGCCATATCACATCATTACCTAAGTCTCACTCCCTGTAGAACTAGCACGCAGATATTCATCACTTGCTATAGAGAATGATGATTTTTTTTTTAATGCAATTAATTACCATACAATTTTGATGATTAATTTTTGTAGTTCTAAAATGACAAGATTTCAGTTTTATTGTAGTTATAATATTATGATTATCAATAGGAATATTATCGGTTTTCTTTATTTGTATTTATAAAACATGTTATATAAAATTGAAAAACTCGATAATGTCCACGGAGTATTAAATTAAAAGGTCTAAAATTAAATAGTTTTATAATATTTATACTCTCTACCAATCTAAAAAACATTTTTACTTAAAAAAAAATTGACATTAGCTGATAAAATGAGTGTTGCGGGTTCAAATATAAAGACGCTTTATATTACAGCAATATAGTGTCTATTATTTATTCGTTATTTTCATACATTATACCTTATTCGCATTTATAAAATGTACAATCTCAGTTTCTCTCCACTCTTTTCCTCCTCGCATGTAAATAATAGTACATAATATCATGTGTATCGTAATGCGTCTTGTTGCATTTTTCACTTGGCTCATATATATACAGTGCAGATTACCATACCTATATATAATAGCATAATACAACACACACACACACATATATTATATTATATTAGACTATATTTATTGTATATATATATAATGCAGTAATGCACTACACACCGCATGTATGGATGCATCATCATTCATCATCAATCGCAATATGACTTACTGCCGTCAGCATGCAAGACGAATAAAATAAAAACACACAATATACGAGATGTACACGCACCCAAATACTACACTTCGCATTATACTTTTATAGTCAGTTATTCGTTGGCGTTCAACGCTCTGATAATCGAAACAAATAGTCGTGCTGAACTACGTAGTTTTCCCATTGCTACAAAATCTCAAAGGAAAACACGACCGTTTGAAACACACTAATAAATCACGTTTTCCCATAGGCCCCTTTTAATCTGTATGCAGACGCGGTGCAGTCAACCAAGGGCCGTCTTAGTGTAATGCACGTGGCCCCCGGACCCAATGTACATTATAATTTACAGAGAAACCTAATAATATTTAAACTGTGATGTTTTTTTTATTTTTTGAGATGAAGTATGTAATTTCAGGAATATAAGTACTCCAAGATTGCATGTACAAAACGTATTAATTTAGTTGAGAATTAAACACACTTGCACACCAATACATGGTATTATAAAGCATTACTCATTATATATTATTTTATATCTAATGTATATAAATTATACACCAAATGCATTAAAAGTAAAAACAAATTTGCAAAAACACGCAACAAATGTGAAAAATGTAAAAAAACTGATCGGCGCTGAAAAATCTAATCCCTATATCCTTAGTCTATTTATCATAATAATAATTAGGGAGTCAAACCGAATATTGTTCAAAATATAAATATGTATACTATAGTATATAATATTACAAATATATTATGGTCAATATTGGCAATCAGTCGTTTTCGGTAATGACTAATCATTATTGACTATTGACTATTGACAATAGCTAATTATTTGGTTAGGCACTGTTGACCTTTCCCAGACATTATGTACCAAGTCCAAAATTGATAGTCAAAGTATGTAATTTTTAATTTACATGTATAATAATAGTATAATATATGTGTGTTCACCCACATCTCAATTTAAGAAAAAAAAATGTATAATTAGCATATTAATTATTTGCATGATCGGGGCTGAAATACTTTTGTTATTCGTTTGTCAGAAAAATAATAGTGTCTATAATTTGTACACGCCCCCCCCCCACCATTCATCTTACCGTCAAAAATTAGTGCCAAGACTAAAAGGTAATATTAAGTTTCACGAGAGGATATATACGATAATAATTTCTTTAGGAAACACCTGATATCGATTCATAAATTGTATAGATCGATGAAACTCATCAATCAATAACCGAACGATATAACAAACCGTCGATATTACCAACAACAACTGCGGTATCAACCGGCATTACTGAAATCGCCTATTAAATAGTCATTATACCGAGACATGGCCAGAATTTTCGACATTGACGTCACTATAATACCGTAATACAGCTTATGTGCAAAGTCTTACCCGATAGTCTCCGAGTGGCCAACAAAACGGAATAGATATTAAGCACGGTGGCGAGCAGACCGTACCACACGGACCACAGGCTGTTGAGCTGACAGAAATGTGTTTTGCCACCTCCGTAGTTGCCGTTTTCAGCCATCACGTCCGGCTCGCAAACATCTCCCACGAGCGTTTTTGAACCTGTGGAAATAAAAAAAAACCAATCAATATAGAAGTATAGGATTATGACATATCATATAAATAATATGAGTAAATTAGGAAATGTCGTCATATGACAGTCGTGTCTGGGGTGACTTTGGGTTCATTTAAGACGGTTTTATATTGCCTGTACAATTAAATGACCAGCTGTAATATTGCTGGTAAAAATTGTATAGGCGCGTTTTCATTACATTTTAGTTTAGCAGTATAATTTATTCACCAACACATTTTATCATTTTACTGAAATGGCCAACGGTAGTATTTCAATATATTTTCATAATACATATTGTCCAAAATACGTAATATACCTACTTGAATTAATTTAATACCTAAAACCAAGAACTCTACGCATTGGCCATTCGACCAACCGACCGTGTCACGTCAGTAACATTGATTACCGAATTATCGTAAGAAACTCGAGTCTACACCTCCGATATTAGTATACTACGCGTATATGGGCTATATAGGTTTGATATTAAAGCGAATAAATTAAATATTACTGAACAAGTATTTTTTTCCGTATTTCTGTAACTGCTTACACCAGAGGTATTCAAACCGTGCGTCGCGAGTATTTGTCTCCCCAGCTGTGGCACAGAAGAGGAATAACTATGATAACGATTAATATGTTATTTTATTCTTAACGCAAGACATTAACTTTTAATTTTCCGTGCATAATTTAACATTAAAACGTTTTACATATTTTTATCTATGTGTCCTTAATAATTTGAGAGCTACCAAAATGATGCGGAGAGACGGAGGTACCGTGAAATGAAAAAGTTTGAACACCTCTGACTTATTTCATATTATGTGTTCGTACATAACTACATAAATACTACGTATGATATATCTCCACTTTATCCTGACAAAATACTTATAATATTATAGGCAGGTACCAATATAATTTGGAACTTGAACATTAATCATTCTCCTCCGTGGGAATTAAATAAACAGGACTTTTGACCCCCCGAGCAAATAGATGTACATAATACACATAACAATATGGTATAATAGTATACTTATTATACTTTATCTGATTTACTGTTTATAGTCTGTACATACAATAAAGACAAATATTAAAGCTATAAAATAATATGTCCACGCCTATTATTTGTGGTACAATTAATTGAAAATTGGTATAAAATGTCCATAAAATAATTGTTAATGCGCAATGTACAAGACGTGTGTTTAACTGCAATCGTAGTACAGAATCTTAATATCTGTATTTCACTATTAATGGCATTTTTTTTCTCTGTATTTCTTAACTAAAACGTTTAAGCGTAGGTTCATAGAGTTCAGATATTAATCTAAAATTATTATTATTATTATAAAACTGGTGCATTGCCACTAGTATACCACTTGTTGTTCTCGTACACCATATTAAACGCGTCGACGGCGCACACGTATATTTTAAAATTTAAATATATCACGCGTTATCCCGCCGGGGTACACATAATATACTTGGCCGTGTGATTTATACTCATATTCGTATCATCGTCGCACACTCGCCTGTATAGTATTAATAATAATAATAATAATAATAATAATAATAATAAATAACTATAATAAATAATAATAGTATAGTGTATACATTGGTCCATGAAATCAACTGTCGATTATGCGCACGCCACCGCGTTTTAATGGATACCTCTACCATCTAATTGTCATTATTTCAACATTTTTTCCGTCACCGAAAGCACAATAACGCCTGCGTGCATCCGATGAAATGTTCGATTACAGGGTGATTGCACTCGATATATGCACGTTACAATGCACAGGACACACCCGACACGACAGTTTCGTATTTCCTATACGTATACATCATGCCTATTATCGTCGTCCATAATAATATACTACCCAATGCCTTGTATAGAGGATGATTCAATAAGTACGCTCACCAATGTTTCCCTTTGATGACGAATTTATTCTAACACTGGATTTGAACATTTTTAAGTTCCCACACAAGTAAAGACCTTAGACCACATAATTTCAGTTATCCAGTCATACCATTAGAGGAGTATCCTGTACATCGATAAAACCTTCTTTTTGAAATGAGAATCATTATTTTTTTACTGCAAGTTTACTATCGAGAGGATACTCATTTGGAAAATTATGATTTATCAACATTTTTTAAATTATTTATATCGGTTTACACATTCAAAAATATGTGTCAGTGACCAAGCACAAAAAAACGACCACAATAGTAGGTACCTACGTATACTATATTATTTTATGATGGGATTTGAAACAGATCGTATTTCTGCATTTTCTAAATTGTGAATAACGCAATATTTTATTCTTGGTTCGGTAGTACGGGCGGTGTACAGCGTATCATGTATACATCGTATATTTATTATACGTATGAGTACCTACATGCTTGTTATCATTAATATTATTATTATTTTTGTATTGTTGAGTTGGTGTTGTTGTGTCGGTAATATGAACCACATCGTCGAATTACAATTTAATTTTTATGCGGTGCAGTTGATATAAACAAAAAGATACGGGGTGGGGGGACATGGAATCTATATTATTATTTTAAATTTTGATCTGCCAGTGTATTTCGTGTTGTACAGCAAAGTAATGGTCGATTGGCCGAGCATTGGAGAATTTCATTGTGTAAATTATCGTCATAATACATTAACACTCGAAGATAAATTTCACTAGATGTCTCGATTCTTAGTATTATCCTAGTTATTATTTTGCATTTTACCTTTTTTTTTTTAGCATTCTATAGATTTTTTTTATCATAAACTTAAATGAGGTTTAGTTGTCACTTTAGCTTGATGACTTGAGGGCATTGAGCGAAGACTCTACCCACTAGCTAAACGTACAGGATGTATTGTGTATTATAATGGTTAGCCTACCATTGAGATATCTTTGATTTGGTTAATTCTGTTACTAGGATGATTGGTTAATCGAAGATGTGAAGTTGTGGTAACAAACATAGTGCTTAATAGCAGTTTCTATCATACACTGTATTCATTTTTGTATTTAAGTCACAGAAGAGGCCTTTGTTATTATGGCCTGCGTTATTTGTTTGATTTTGATTTTTTATCGATGATCCAAATTTGGACACCTTCCATCCAATTGGTTTTATTAGGATTACGTAGGAGGCAATAGGTTTAATTTAGTCCGGGGTAAACATGTAGGAACACGTGAAAACGAAAATTTAGTTTAAATTGTTCGGGTATGTTAGAGGTCGTTTAAAGTTTTATTGATAAGGACACCTTTACGCATTTTGTGGTTAGCGATGTTTAAATACGATTTTGTTATAGATATAACTCAAGGAAAAACGTCGTGTTTGAGAACGAAGGTAATGTGAGTGGATTTGCTTTCGTTAATTATTATTATCCTGCTTTGACACCAGGTTTCAATACAAGAAAGATGAGAAGATGATTAGATGCGATGTCGTGGTGATTGGATTTTCGTGAACTGGGAGAATAGGTTTATCGTCGTCGCATTCAGTGACAAAAATGTAAGGAAAAGTGGGTCGATACGCTATAAAAAAACGTTCAATAAGAGAGTGGCTGTTATTTCGCCTTGGGGAACAACCCCGGCTTGTATTATAGAAATAGCTGAGAGACAGGAGCGATAACGGGCGGCCAATCGACAATCGTTTAGTTATATTATTTAAAAGTAGGAAAAAGCAAGAATTTCCTTTATTTTAAAAAAGACGCCTATGGCGACACCGAGAAAATGTGTTGTGCAATACCTACCTACTCCATTGTAACAATAATTAAAAGAAACAAAATATCAACGAAAAACTTTTTTTGTGCTTGTAGCATATTACAAACAATCTACGTACAATTATTATTACGTGCAATTCATCAAAGAGGAATGAAATGTGTTTCGGCGACAAAAATTGTGATGGTACGATATCGTTTCCTACCTTGACCAATAGGCTTGCAGCGCACTAGTGTGACAAACAAAATATAATTTTTATTTATAAATACAGGTGTTGTGCACATTCGACACAAAACCTCTGCACAAACACAGAATTCGTGCGTTTAAGTAACGGTACAAAATATTATACAGTACGAAAAGACCGCGGCATCGCAGGCTTTATTTTACGGAAATAATTACAGTTTATTTATTTTCTCTGACATCGTACGACCTTATATTATTTTAATATTATAATAACCGACCGACCACTCTGTATATACGAACTGCGTTTCAATGATATTATAATATTATGCGTTTCGCCGTACCCGTGTTATTATTTTACGTAACTAGAATACATTTAATTGGTTAATTTTACAGGTTTGAATATAATATATATATATATATATATATAGTAGCGCTGCGGTTTAACAGTGTCTCGAGGGCAAAATGTATAATATATAAATTAATTGAATAATAATCATATGCAATTATCCTATTAGCCAAAGTGCACTACTTGTCTACTTGTTTACCAGTATAATATACAATATCATACATGCAATATGCATAATATAATGTATACAAGACAAATTCACCAATCCGGCTGTATTATTATATTATGTTATTTGTAAATATTATCATTTAAGCATAGGTTTCCATTATGAGTATTATAAAAATAGTATGTACATATGGTTTATATTATTATGTAAATACCGTAAACGGTATAAGTAATCATTTTATTGAGTTCAAAAATACAAAAAGTCGATGATACCAACATTATTATTTTTAATATAGACTTTCTACAGTGCTTTTTTCCATTGTATTTAATATGCAAAATTAAAAGACAATTAAATTTTATGAATATCGCCAAGAGTGAAAATCACACTTTTTTAATAATTGTAAAATTATTAATCATTGATTTTTATTTTGGATAATGTGAAATACTTGAATTGGAACTTTGCAAATTAATGAGTCACTAACTCACTATACATTATAGAATGGACGACAAGTGAATTTCACGAAGAACATGAATACTTGTTAATATTTTATTACTTAAAATGTTCGTGTTACTAAAATAGTAAAATCACAAACCGTTACTTACAATACACATTAATATAATATTTGCA